TTTCCTCCAGGCTTCTCCCCCAACCTGCCTTCCACTCACCTTCCATTTGCTGTTTCGAGCCTGGGAAGAACACTATGGGTGAGAAGGAAGAGGAAGTTCCTCAGCCCTTCTCCTCTCCGCGACTTCCTTTCTAGCAATACTTGATGGTGTTGTGTTAGAGCGCCACCTAGTGCCAGTATATGCTCTCCTCCCCTGCACTCAGGCTTCAGCTCCAGGCAGCATTCGCTCCATAAGACGCACAGACATTTTCCCCCACCTTTTGGGGGAGAAAAAGTGCGTCTTATAGAGTGAAAAATACGGTAAGTCTAAATGTTATTGCTATTGTAAAAAATATTGCTTGTATACCAGTCACACACATTTTTCCTTTGTACGTGGAAAAACTGTTTCCTGTAGTAAGCTCGTATAAAGGAAATAAAACAGTACAAGTTATTGAACGGTCTAGATTAATTCTTTACATATATAGAAGCCCTGAAAAGTTCAGGAGGTTTTCTCCCATGTCCAGGGACCACTTTCTGAATTTCAGTTCAGCTGGAAAAAACCTCATTGAGTCCTACTTCCTGTTCAGTGCATGAATCCAAATCCAAAGGAATGTAAACCTTCTCCAATAAGCTCCTGTGTGAACATGTCACTGAAAGAATGCAGGTTGTCCACAACTTTATGACCATTTAATAACAGACTTTGAGAAAAAAATGACTTACCTCGAAGTTATGACCATCATACCACCCTTGGCGGTCACATGATTGCAATTTGGCTGCTTGGCAGCTGGCTCATATTTGCTACGCATTAAAGCAGCTGCATCTTTTTATGCTCATGAGGAAGCCTTTTTATGCTCATGAGGAAGCCTTAAAAAGACGTAGTTCTTTTAATGAGCAGAGAAATGATGCAGATCCAGAACAATTTTTTCTGAATCCTTTTCAAAGTGCAGGCATCCTGAGTAAAAACACACAAAAAAAAATCATTACCACCACCACCATCATTCTTATGCAGCACGGCACCCCAGTATGGCTGCTGCATCTACTTTTCAAAAATTTAAGTCAATACAGAAAAAAAAAAATCCATTATGTTTGACCTCTACCCATAAATAGTTTATCAGCCACCATGTGCTGTAAGTTAAATATGTAGACTCAGTTTTAATAAATAACCTTAACAAAATCACTGCCTTGTGGTGGGCCTCTTCAAACTGCTTGTCAAATTAAATGTCTCTTTCTCCCCTTCTTTCCGTTTAGGTAGTCCATTGTTTTTATGGGTACTGGCAGAGTTTTTGTACACAGAAGAATTTTGCATGGAAGGAAGAGTATGACACTCGGCAGGCGTCCAACCGCTGGGAAAAGCGGGCCATGGAAAAGGAGAACAAGAAGACCCGAGACAAAGCAAGGAAGGAGCGGAACGAACTGGTCCGTGAACTGGTGGCCTTTGTGCGGAAAAGAGACAAGCGAGTGCAGGCCCACCGGAAGCTTTTAGAAGAGCAGAATGCAGAGAAAGCTAAGAAATCAGAAGAGCTCCGGAGGCAACAGAAACTGAAACAGGCCAAGTATGATGATCTAGACCAGGGCTTTTCAACCTTTTCACCTATTGTACCACTTTTAGAATATGGCAATATCCGAGTACCATCAGTCACCTAGCAAAGTGTCAAAAACTTGATGACCAAAAAAAAAAAAGGAAAAAAGTGATAAAAGTACAGGTAGTCCACGACTTACAACAGTTCGCTTAGTGACTGTTCGAAGTTACAATGGCACTGAAAAAAGTGCCCCCCAAGCCACAGCCGAGCAAGACACCTGCCTGCCCACCCGGCCACGCTCTTCCTCCTGTCCGAGGTTTCCATTGTTGTGAGCATTTCTGTTGGGGATTGGCAGCAGGGGTGGGGTGAGGGGGTGTTTGGTTTTTATTCCCCCCCTCCCGTCTGCTGGGTGGTTGCAACAGGTTTTGGTCACTTCACATGACCCTGGGACACTGTGACCGTCATAAATATGAATCAGTTGCCAAGCATCTGAATGTAAATCACAAGACCCTGGAGATGCTGCAACATTCCAGCTGATTGGCGTTTCTTTTGGGCTCAGCAGAAGCACCAGGATCAGTGCTGCTTTTCAGCTGATTGGTGCTTCTTCAGGGCTCAGCAGAAGCACCACAATCAGCGCCGAGCTCCAGCTGGAGCCTGGTTCTGATCCTGGCACTTCCACTGAGCCCTGACAGCCCCGAAAAAGCGCCGATCAGCTGGAAAGCGGCACTGATCCTGGTGCTTCCACTGAGCCCTGACAGCCCAGCAGTTCCAGCCATCTCTCACTCAGGCCTGTGCGGTGCTGCCACCGGTTCAGCTCATACCCCTCCCCCGCTATCACTTTTCTAGGATGGTCACGTACCACCTGCCAGGTGCCAATGTACCACAGGTGGTATCCGTACCACTGGTTGAAAAGCCCTGATCTAGACCACTGTTTCTCAGCCTTGGTAGATTTCCAGAATTTCCAAAATTCCCCAGGCAGCATGCTGCATGAACACTCTCTTTATATGGTATTGGTCCCAAAAGGCAACACAGTTGTAAAAAAACAGGGTCTAATGTAAAGGTGTAAGTCTATACATAGGTTGTATATAGTATGTTTAAATGTGTGTTATGTATGTGTACACTTTGAGAGCAAGCAACTAAATTTCATTTTTAATATATATATGTATATGTATCTATCTTTTCCCAAGCTGGTTGCTTTCCAGAATTTTTAGGCAGTGGGCATGCTAGCTGGGGAATTCTCTGATGCTTCTATCAGGCCCCAGCTCAAAGACCACATGGTGAACTCCAATCAAGTCCACTTCCTTATTGCTTACCTCTAATAGACAGAATCTTGCCAGACTAAAGTTACACCCTTCTAACCTAATGGCTATATCCTGAGAGATTCTAGGATGTGGTTACCTTGAAGCTCATTTTCTCTCCCCCATCCAGTTTGGAACTGCACAATTTCTTGTTTTGGGCTTCTCTGGAATGTGCTGCCCCCTCCCTGGGAAACCACAGAGCTTCCGCCAAGATTACCCCCTACTCCTTCTCCAACTGCCCATTACATCACAGTTTCTATTCATGAAGGTTCATAAATGTTCTTCCTGCAGTGGTGTAGAAGGAGAAGTTGATGTTCTAAGTTTCTGCCTGCCTTCAAGGCTGTTACAGTACAGCTTCTAAAGCGCATCCTAACAAGTTAAGCTTATAAATGTGTGGACTAAGTTCTTGAAAAGGCTGGGTAACCAAGGAAAAACTTGATAAGAACTCTTGGGGCTCTCTGAGCTTTGTTATTTTCATGCAAACATTTCATTATCCAAACTAGGTAACATCATCAGCACACTGATTCTTCCTTATTGATAAGAACTCTGTATATTCAGATACAACCTTGCAGTAGTTAAGAATGAAGAGTGAAATACTGAGATTGATTACAAGAGCTGTGTGCTGACAAAAGGCTTATCTAGATTTGATTGGTAGCATCCACAGTTTGCACAACACAATTGTGTCTTTGTTCAGCATGAAGCTGTCTGCATGAAAGAAGCTGTCTTGATCCAACTTGTGTAGGACAATAAATATGTCAGCAATGTAAGCTCACTCTTCTTCAGTCTGGTGGTTGCCAATGCTTTTGTAAATCCTATGATTTCTACCCTGCATAGACATTAAATCATGAAGTGCTTTATTTGTTTGGAATTGATGTTGTAAGCTTCACCAGGTGGCAGCATCTGGCCAACCATGTCTAGGTACCAGGTAAAAAAAGGAGACATTTGAAAAGCTCAGGACTGTAGATTAGTCAGAAAGCCTGAAAAAAGGCTGTAACATACCATTTTGGTTTTTGTTGGTGAGGAAACTAGATGTCCATCATTACTAAAATCGCCAGTAGTTGAACTTGACTCTCCACTTGACCTCTTCTTTAGCACATGGACCAATTTCTTTTCTTTCATTAACCATGTTTATTGTTCAGGGTATTACACAAAGCCAGCCTGTGAAAATCTCCACCTTTTGCCTTTCCTCTTCCTTTCAAAGGCTGGCGGAGCAGTACAAGGAGCAGAGCTGGATTACCATGTCTGACCTAGAGCGAGAACTACAACAGATGGAAGCTCAGTATGAAAAGGAATTTGGAGACGGGTCTGACGAGGAAGAAGAGGAAAAAGAAGAGAGGAAAGAGAACCAAGAAGAGGGTGAGGACCAACTGGTGCACAGTTAGTTGCGCCTTAAGAGCAAGTGCAAATTGTTTTGCTGGGAATAGCTTGCTAGGTAACCTAATTTCCTTTATTGACTTCCAGACTAAGGACTTACAACTATTAAGTAAACATTAGCACAAGTTGGGGGTGTTCACGCTCATTGTTGCAATTTGGCAGCTATTCCTCTCTTTTACCAAGAGTTTGATTTTTCCAATCAGCATTCTGTGATCCCTGGACAAGATCAGTCCTGAGTGGTCCAGTTTTCTCCATGTGATTCCTGGAGATTTTACTCTTGGCAGTTATTGACGGTCCCTTCAACTTTGCTGATTCCTTCTTCGCCTGCATAGCTGTATCATTTTGGTTACTTAAGCACTTAAAACTCATAGGTAGGATATTGACAATAGAAGAAAAGATAGTCAGATCATCAGGTATCTTACACAGAAATATATGTATATGTATTGAGTTTTTTATGATGCACCCGGTCAGTCCAAATATGGGAAGAAAAAGATTTCTTCTTCCTATATTTGGGCTGACCGGGTGCATCATAAAAAAACACTCAATACATATCTCCTCCCCTGGTCTCTTCCCTCCCTGACACAGCTGACAAAGTGAGAAAGAGCCTGTGGCTTAGAGGTCAACACAGCTGCCTAACATGCAAGCAGCCCAGATTCAAATCTCAGAAGGGTGTAGCTGGCTGATGAGAGCTAAGGAGCTTGAAATAGCTATACCAGCTTCCCTTTAACTCTTCATTAGCAATCCAAATTTAACACAAATATATGTATGTATTTTCAGACAAATTAAGTGAAGAACACGATGCTGCTAACCTTTTTGATGATGACCTCTATTGTCCTGCTTGTGATAAATCCTTTAAGACAGAGAAAGCGTAAGTTTTTCTTTATATGCAAACTAAAATGGATCAGGACATACTTCATCTGCCATCTTACCCCTGATTTGCTCAAAAGCTTCGTTGGTTCCCTGTAGGCTTCCCTTCCCAAGCAAAGCTCTGCCCAGTTTCCTTTAACAAAAGGCAGCCACTCTTTCTTAGACTCAAATCTTGTTCTTCTCAGTAACATCCATCTGATCACTCTCTTCAGGATGAAGAACCACGAGAAGTCCAAGAAGCACCGGGAGATAGTGGCTTTGCTCCGACAGCAGTTGGAAGAAGAGGAAGAAGCATTTTCTGTCTCCACAGTTGATGAGAATGGATGGAACAGCGAAGAGGAGGCAGAAGAACCAGTGCCCAAACAAAAGTACTTATGAAAATATATAGAAGTTCAGACTACCAGAGACCACAAATTATTTCTGGTCTCCAAAGCTTCATGAGGGAGCTGGCCAGGTGCCCTATTTTAGGATGTGCCATTCCATGCTCCTTTTCCCCATCCCTCGAGGGTCAACTAACAAACAATTCAATTGAGCTGTTTTATGTTTTATTCCTCTCTCAGCTTTTTCCCCATAATCTTCATGGTATAACTGAGTTTGTTTATCTTTCCTTTCTGTGCCTGGGTACATGGTTCCCCCTGCCGTGGTAAGAATCCATCATGAGAGAATTGGGCTACCTTCAGCAGGAATGCTCAGAAATGTGTTGCTTAGAAGTAATCTGTTAGCTGCTACTTGGTGGGCATGGCTAAAGCAAGCAGTTGTTCAGGATAAACTCCACACTTTTCAAATTGCACCCGAGATTTCTCTTAAGGCAGTGTTTCTCAACCATGGCAGCTTTGAGATGGGTGGAATTCTGGGAGTTGAAGTTCACCTATCTTAAAGCTGCCAAGGTTGGGAAACAGTTCTAGGGCTTCAGAAGGGATTCAGCAAGCAACGATTGTTGAACTAGGTTGTTTTGACATTACAGTTTTGCTTCTATCCTTAACAGGTTGTCAAAGAAACAGCGAAGAAAGCAAAGAACAGCAGGCGTAAGGTTTTTTTTTGTTTTAAAGTGAATTTCCCTTTGCACATGCTTTCATGTTCTGATCTGTTTGAACATAGCATTGATTGCTGGCAACGCCCTGCTGAATAAACTTGCTGAAATATTTTTGCATTTTATGAGGAGAACTAGCTAACTTTTCAGAGCTAGTTGCAGTTTTGCCTCCCAAACATAGCCTCATTTTGAGGAAATGGAGATGGCAGCCTTCCCTTTGTAGAGGACCCCACCACTAGACCATTATCTGCCAAGTATAACATGGCTTACAGGAGGAGGTTGCTGGATCCCCAACTTCAGAAGATGAAAAAGTCTTCAGGTGCTTCCTCAGAAAGTCTGTGCATGTAAAACTTTTGTCCTCAGCCTTCTATTTACCTCCATGATTTCTGTGCTGGAGCTGAAGGCTTCCTTGAATGGGAACAGATTTAGCAGTGCCCCATGTTGAAAATACGTAAAGGCCTTCCCCAAGTTGTTGATGTTCCAGGTGATGGCTATTTTGTAGCACCTGGAAGGCACCAGGCTGGGGAAGATTGGTTTGCATGTTTGTGTTCAGATGTGATGTTCTAGCATACCAAGGCATGATTTTCTTCATCCTGCAAATAGATTTTGCAGATCTCTTGTGATCATGATGAATGTATCTAGGCCGTTATCTTCCATTGTTCCTCTGAGGGCTCTCTTATTCTTCCAACAGACCCCAGAGGATCCTTCCAATGACAGTAGCCCTGAGCAGCAAGTCGAAGAGGCAAGTCCTGTTTGCAGCAATGACCCAGAGAGGGTGTCTGAAGAATCAGAAAATGTCAGCAAAAGCCATAATTCAGATGATGTTGAGGAAATTTCAGCACCTACAGCAGAATCCAAAACTGAGGTGAAAAGGTAAATATGCTTCTCTGATAATAACTGAAGGGAGTTGTTGCTAATGAAATGTAAGGAGTTGGAATAGAAACCTTGTGAAAATGTTTTATATAGTCTATAGCAGGGGTCTCCCACCTGTGGGCCCAGGGCCCACTACAGGGCCGTGGCCTCCTGGCTACTGGGCCACAGGACAGGCTGGCCAGTGTGTGCATGTGTGCGTGCACCCACCCACTCGTGTTAGCACTGTGGCCGTGGGGAGCGAAAACGGGATGACGTGCTGCAGGGTTTGAAAACGGGACGCTGCTGTGCCACAGGGTGCGAAAATGGGACACTGTGCCGTGGGGCACGAAAACACCAACACCGCACCGCAGGGCGCGAAAATGGGGCACCGCGCAAGAACGGGGCAGGGCTAGCGGGTATCACATGGGCCCTAGTGTGGTCCCATTTGCGTCACATGCGTGCTTGCGGCCTTGCTAGCACACGTGCACATGCACGCATAAAATGCTGCCACCTCCCTTCCCCTCCAGTCCGCCAACCGAGAAAGTACCTGCTCAAAGACTAAAAATTTCTTTTATTATTTTAGCAATCCTAAAGGCAAAGGAAAGAAAGCAAAAGAAGCCAAGAAAACATCCCCAAAAGTTTCTTCAGAGCACCAGGTAAAGGTATGTGCAAGAGATTAAGGCAGTACACTTTCACTGTGTCAAAACAAATTGTCCTTGACCTACAACTACAATTTCTGTTTGTTAAGTGAGTTTTGCCTCATTTTACGACCTTTCTTGCCACAGTTGTTAAGTGAATCACTGCAGGTATTAAATTAGTAAACTGGTTGTGAAGTGAATCTGGCTTCCCCATGGACCAGTGGTTCTCAACCTGTGGGTCGGGACCCCATTTGGGGTCCATCGACCATTTCATGGGGGTCGCCAAGCAAGGCTGTCCGCCATTTTTTTGTCCGCCATTTTTTTTGTCCGCCATTTTTTTCCCCTTTTCCGGCTGGTGCCTTACCTCCCTTGGGCTGGGCCAGCTGGTGGTCGGCCTGCTCTGTCTCTGCCACTTGCCAGCTACGCCTCGGCCGGCGCAGGGGGCGGAACCACGCATGTGCGGCACTCCCAGGCAGGGAAAGTCCTCGACTTATGACCGGTTGGGTAGTCCTCGACTTACGACCGGTTTAGTCCTCGACTTACAACCGGTTTAGTCCTCAACTTACGACCGGTTTAGTCCTTGACTTACGACCGGTTGGGGTCGCGGCATTAAAAAGGTTGAGAACCACTGCCATGGACTTTGCTTGTCAGAAGGAAGCAAAAGGTGATCACATGACTCTGGGACATTGTAACCGTCATAAATATGAGTCAGTTGCCAAATGGCTAAATTTTTTCACATGACCATGGGACTGCTGTAGTGGTCGTAAGTGTGAAAAATGGTCAGAAGTCACTTTTTTCAGTGCCATTGTAACTTCAAACAGTCACTAAATAAACTGTGGTAAATCAAGGACCCCTCATACTGAATTTGGCATCAAGTTTTAACTCTATCTATCTAAGACTGTGGGCAATAGAAAAAGGGGACGACAGAGAATGAGGTGGTTGGATGGAATCACTTAAGCAGTAGGCGTGAGCTTAAATGGACTCCAGAAGATGGTAGAGGACAGGAAGGCCTGGAGGAACGTTGTCCATGGGGTCGCGATGGGTCAGACACGACTTCGCAACTAACAATTTAAGGCAGTGGTGGCGAACCTATGGCACGTGTGCCAGAGGCAGCACTCAGAGCCCTTTCTGTGGGCACGCATGCTGTGCCCCGGAGATGGTGAGGGACTGGTCCCCGCCGTCCTGGCCCCACCCACCCAGTCTGCAATGACCACCGCGGCTCCGCCCACCCGGCACCCGGTGATAAATAAGTGGGGTTTGGGTTGCAGTTTGGGCACTGGGTCTCTAAAAGGTTCGCCATCACTGATCTAAGGGAAAAGTCTATCCCTTTTTTTGGTTTATTTGTTTAATGAAAATGTCCTTCAGGTTGACTTCAATCCCCAGTGTTTTTCTGGATCCGCCCATGCCATTCTATGGGAAATAACATGGAAGTCATTTAGCATTTCTTCTTCTGAAATCTGTTTCAATTTCCCATCAGGTTTACAGCCCCCTCTAGCCAGATGCTATATCAGCTTCTGAAGATTAGCCAAGTTCTGCCATCTGCTGAGACTTTTTTCCTTAACATGTTCTCCAAACTCTAAATGTGACCACTTCAAAAGCTTGTCTGATTTGTAGTTCCACCTAACTCACTTATGCTCATTAAAAAAAGGAAAAAAAACCAGCTAAGCAGTATCAGATATGCTTATAACGTGGATGAGAAAAAATCAAAAAATCCCACAGCTATGGGTTACAGAGGGAAGTCCAAAAGGATCCTTGTATATTGCTGCCCAGAAAATTACATGGACATGTCTAAATCACCAAGATTTCAGCTCCTTTTATAGATATCCCATTGTTTTGCAGAGCTGCCTTAGCCAACTTTCAGCCTGGGAACAGAATTGTTGATCACTCATTTAAAGACTAGCTTTCTAGAAAGGATGACCGGCTTTAAGTCTAAGTTTAGCAAATAACCGAGTTGATAGAGCATCGGTTCTCCAGGTTTAGACAATGTAATTGAGAACCAGGTGGTGATATTCAGTGGGATGGCAGCTTCCTTTTTCTGCCTGCTTGCAAGCTTGTAGAAATATGTTTTGCTGCCAATGTAGGTCAAACCAGGCCTTAGACCAGGGGTCCTCAACCTTGACAACTGAATTCTGGTCGTTGAAGTCCACAAGTCTTAAAGTTGCTGTCAGGGCCCACTTTAAAACCTCATCCAGAGAAAGCAGGACTCTGGGAACAGTTTCTTTCCAAAAGGAACTTTTATTAGGAGAAGCTGATAGCAGGCATAATAGGCAGGATCTGAGGGTTTCCCGCTCAGATCAATAGGTTAAAAGAGTCCTAAGCATAACCCCACCCCAATAGTTCATCCGGTCAGTTTGAATGGGCCAATCCCCAGGTGTTAAGTCCACTGTGGAAAAGGAGCTGATAACAATGTCCTTTCCCATGCTTGTGAAGATGATGTTGGGTCTTGGCACCTTCCCTTCCGCAACAAGAGATAAGCCAGATGGCCAGAGGCACATTCCTTTCTCACCCCAAGATAACATCAAGGGAGAGACTGTTCAAAGAGTAAATATGTAGGAACAGCGGAAAGGATACATTACAGCAAAGCAGAAACATACCACAGAGCCTCCCCCCTCCCTCTCAGGAGAATGGCAGAACCCTCAGAAAGAAATGAATTAGGAAAGAAATGAGATAGATCCCCCCTAGGAAAAGAATGGGTTCTGACAGTTGCCAAGGTTGAGGACCCCTGCCTTAGACTACTCCAATCAGGTAATTCTTTATTACATTTTTGCTGACATCGAAGAAATACTATATTAATGATAAATGTCTATGGGGATTCTCATATATATATTAGCGGTAATAAAATTCGCCCTGTCTTCGTTTCTTCTGCTTTTCCATGACAGCCTGAAGGCCCCCTGCAGTGTGTTACCTGCAGCTGTGAATTTCAGTCACGGAACAAATTGTTTGAACATCTGAAAGCCACGGGGCACGCCAAAGCCGTAGCCACCTCCACTGCCAACACAGCCATCAGCAGCAGAAGCAAGAAAGAGAAGCGGAGAAACAGATAGGGTTTCTGGAAAGCATCGAGAACTGTGGGGCTAATCAACTTTGTCACATCCAAAAAAGGCACCTTGTTGACCCAAAGAGAGAAACAGGCTTTCCCCGTGTAATTTAACCGGGATGAAGACTGCTGGGTCCAGCCATAAACAGAGCAGAAAAGCATTTACACCTGTGCAGTACCTGGTATCTGTTTGTGTCTGTATTTTGTTTCATAAAATTGGGCTAAAACCCTGGATTGTTCATAGCTGCTCCTTGGATTTGTAAAAACCTATATATACAGGCAAAGGAAATAAATTATTTTACTGTATATTTCTGTTTATTTTCAAAAATTGCACTATTCGTTTCGTTTAGTGATGTCCTCTTTACATTGAATGCACCTTTTTGCTACCAACCTGCCTATATTCATTTAGCCCAGGGGGGTCTTCAAACTTGGCAACTTTAAGACTTGTGGACTTCAACTCCCAGAATTCCTCAGCCAGCCCTGGCTGGCTGAGGAACTCTGGGAGTTGAAGTCCACAAGTCTTAAAGTTGCCAAGTTTGAAGACCCTTGATTTAGCCCAATCCTGGATTGGCCATCATAAGACAGTGGCTGTCAGCCATATCAGTGCCATCCCTCATGCTATGAAAGAGGACTTGCTCCAACCATGACAGAAACAAACATTTTCGAGACAAACCATAACTTTAAAGCTATTTTTTATTGTATGTTTTAAGTTCCAATACCTTCTTCCATGTGTCATGTATGAAATTTGTAAGTCCCATCTGTGGTATACATTTAACCACTGATTGAAAACCACTGCTGCGAAAGATATTTGGGGGACTGTAGCTCTCTTGTTCTTGCTATATTCTAATGCCCAAGGTTCTTCAGCAAAAGAGACTTAAGTAAATTATCTACTTGGAAATTCTGGAACTCCATATGATTCTTATGTTCAGAGCCATCTCAGTTAGCCCGGACAAGCAAGATTTGCAAGTGTCAGTTCAGCTTTAGCTTCTTCATCCCTGATCCAAGAGCTAAGAATTGGATTAACATTCTTTTATCTTAATGTAAGACTAAGACTATTTATTAAAGCACTAATCAGCATGAAACCTTCACTCTGTTCTAGCTGGTGGGGGAAGTGTTTGTTGCCCCTCAGAAATTAGCAATACATTTTCTGAATGTCTGTTCAACATAATACAGTGTTTCACATTCTAGTTTCTGCTTTATGAAATTGGATTCTGTCAAAACATTAAAGGATTTGGATATGTGCTTTCCCACCTGTATTTCAAAGAGGAACAGCAAGAGAATTAGCTTGAGCCCTTATTATGGGAGAGGATTGGAAAGAATTTATATTCTGCTGCTCAGCTGTGTTTCCAGCGATTTTCCCGGCAGAAGCGTAATCCCAGCACTCAATCTTAAAATCCCTTTGTGTAGACAGGAAGAAAAGATGGCTCCCATGTGCTCAGCCAAAACATCAGCTGGGCTTCTCTAAATAAGCTACGCACATAATGTCCAGCTGCTGCACAAGTTATAAAAAAGCCAAATGGAGTTGCGTGCTGAGAAGCCTGTTTCTTTCTGTATGTAACCTTATCCAGATTAATCTCAAAAAATGATTGTTATGAATCAATGCTCCAAGCATCGAGTTCTGATTCATGGATTTATTCACAATGAGTCAAATGTATTTCAGGTCCGGGGGGAAGTTCTATTTTTCAGCTGTTGTTCTTTCCATACGTCTTATTAAGGCTTCATGGAAGACGGCCACTGCAAAATCCGCATCTTCCTTAGTAATGCACATCGGAGGTTTAATTCTAAATGTCTTGGGGAAAGGAAAAAAAAAGGGAAAATATTATATAGAGAATATTTAGTAGTAGAGATGTTTTGGCAATAGATATCATCACAAAGCAACATGCTGTACAGTCACCGCTTAAGGGGCAGAGGATGGGGATGGACCAAGCTAAAACAATTCCAGCCTACCACAAACTAAATTTATTGATCCATCTGTGTGGTCCTGGCTCTACAATTTATTTTGCAGCCATAACAAAAGGTAGGTATGGCCAGCCCCTTTTCATGTGATCGTTTTATGGTGCTTGGCAACTAACCTGCATTTACAGCATCATGTGGTCACATGACTGATTCACAGTGTTTTTGCCAAAAATTGGCATTTCTCTAAAAAAGTGCCCATTAGGACAATGGGCTGCTTAGCAACCAGCGTGACTTACGACAGTAATTCTGGGCTCAATTATGATTGTAAGTTGAGGACTATCTCTACTTCTCTCCCTGTGTTTTGTTTCATGCACAGGCTAATAAACCTGGAACAAGCAAGTTTGGAAACAAGCAGCAGATGCCAGCTATTTCATACATAGACAGCTGTATGTGTTCCTTTTGGACAGTAAAGCATTGCTTATAAGCGGGGCTGGCTAATCTTTTTCCCCTCGGGGCTAAAGTTTTCTTATTAAGGTCTGGATGGGGCATGATAATGACATGGTAATGTTACTGGAGGTATGTGCTTTTTACCATCCTAAATTACTCTGTGTCACCCGTCATCCTGGCAATGTTCAGCCTTTTGAAATACATACAGAGGAATACTGACTGCCATATACGTACTCCTTGACTTATGACCACAGTTGAGCCCCCAAATTTTCATTGCTAAGCAAGACAGTTGTTAAGTGAATTGTGCTCCATTTTACGAACTTTCTTGCCACAGTTGTTAAGTGAATCACTGCAGGTGTTAAGTTAGTAACATGGTTTTCAGTGAATCTGGTTTCCCCATTGACTTTGCTTGTCAGAAGGTCACAAAAAGAGGATTGCATGACCCCGGGACACTGCAACCGTCATAAAGGCATGCCATTTGTCAAGAGTCCAAATTCTGATCATGTGATCATGGGGATGCTGTAATGGTTGTAAGTGTGAAAAGCAGTCATGTCACTTTTTTCGGTGCCATTGTAAGTTTGAAAGGTCACTAAATGAATGGTTGTAAGTCAAGGACTGTACTTTTTTTCATATGCAAATCAGTGATTCTTCCTCAGCATGGGTCATCCCTCTATATACTAAAGAACTGGCTGTGGTCACACCTTAATAGGCTTCTCAATGTTTACGATACCTGTGAATATATCCCTCCTTTGCCAATCAGCAACCCCATATCTTTGCAGTCTTCCCAAATCTGGTCCATCTCTTCAGCTGGAAGTGGCTGGCGAGTTTCCTAAGAAGAAAGATTAAACTTCAGTTTCCCACCTTTTTTTCATTTTTTTTTTAAAAACCAGGAAGACATGAAAGAATCAAACAACACCTAGCCATTGATCCCCCAAAACAGGTTTCTTCTAAAACCTGTAAAATTGCATTCTGACACACCCAACATTACAACATCTTGTGCTTTATTTATTGATGAAATTAATACTCTGCCACTCAGAACTCAAAATAGCTTTTGAACGTCTGCGCATCCACAAAGACTCACAACACAAAAATGCAGCAGGTAGAGCTTAATTTTTCAGTAATTGCCATAGTGAGTTAGTTGTGTTTGCAAGAAGACTCTACAGGAAGTCCTTGACAGATGACTAATGGAACTTGCCCGTTATGATCATATGTCATAGCGGCTACAAAACAGGTTGATGGATTTCACTACCTTTTTTGTAGTGGTCATAAACTCGCCACCACGATCATTAAGTGAACTAATGGAAGTAAGGACCAGTTTTCAGCAAAAACACAGACACAGGACTGGAGGATGCTGCAAAGGGCCATGAATTCAGCCCTGTTGCTGAGCACCCAAAGTTTGGTCAACCATCCATTAGAAATTCGAACCTGGTTTGTAGATCCTTTTTTCAGGTCAGTCATAACTCTGAATGATTGCTAAGGGACTGGTCAAAAATAAAGGACTACCTGTAATTTCAGTAATGCCAGAGCAAAGTTGGACCTACAATCAAGATTCAATGTGTAGTTCTCTGCTCATCTGTTGGTTTGGGGGTTTTTTTGCACCATAGTTTTAGAGTTATAACATTAATATTCACTTCTGGTTTTACTGATTCTATATTCTGCAGTAGGTATTATGGTTATTTAGTCACTTTAGCATTATATATAGTTTTATATAATAGTATGCCAATTACATAGTTATAGCACTACATTCCTCATGGATTTAATAACCCTAATTATATTTATAATCTTAATGGAACTATTATGTTTTCATATTTGTGCTAGCACCTTACAATTTAATTATTCTTATAGCATGTAAATTAGACTTGCAAAACAGGATGCTTTTAATTTTAGTGCTGAATATAAATTTTATTGATCAGTGACCAAAATATGATGGAAATGATGCTTCTCTACTCAGCGTACCGTTCTGAGCATTACAGTTCCAGAAATCTATCAATATTTTAGAGACAGTTCAGAGGAGGCCAATAAAAATGATACAAGGCCTTCAGAGCATGTTCTAAATCTATGGGGATAGGGAGAAAACAGCTGGACTCTTCAGTATCAGTGTTACTCAATCTTGGAAACTCCCAGAATTCCCAGACAATCATGCTACTTGGGGGAATTTTGGAAATTGAAGTCCACACATCTTAAAGTTGCCAAGATTGGAAACATTGGTCTGGAGCGAAGAAACTGAGGGGAGACATGATATGATAGCTATGGTGAGATACATAAAGGGAAGCTACAGAGAAGATAGTCAGAAATTATTTGATCTGGCCCTAGAAATTAGGGGTAGAAATAGCAACCATGAGTTTAAAATTCATCAGATTATAAAGGAAAATCAATAGCATTTGTACAACAGTGAATAGTGAACAATAGTGAACATTCCAGTTAGAATCCAAAGGTTATAGATTTTCCCTGTGTTTTTTTTTTTTTAAAAAACAACCACCTCTCATGAATTGAAAATTGATTTTCCTGCACATTGCAGTGAGTTGGACTAGATGACCCTTGTTATCCTTTCCAACTCAATGCAAGTACCTTACAAGCACTATAGGCCCACCAAGTGCAGTCCATACCTTATTCTTGACCATCTCTATCCCAATCATAAGTCCTTTGCCACGAACATCTCCAATAATTTCAAACTTATCCCGCAGCTTTGCAAACTCTAAGAGCAAGTGAGTTCCAATCTCTTGGCAATTTTTCTGCAAGCCATCTTCTGCTATTGCCTAGACACACAAAAATGATAGAAGAAATCATCAAGCATTCTGAAATGGCATTGCTGGCCCATTTAATTCTACAAGGGAGCTTAAAAACTAGACCGAAATAACTTTGATAAGAGTCAAAAAATATTAACATGTCAATCAAATTCACTACGTGCCAATACATGAGAAAATTCTGGAGTATATTTGATTTAATACAATATTCAGGGGCTTTGGGGGAGGGGGCTCCACCATTAAAATAGTGGATATAGCTGAGGTAATCAAAGTCCCGGCCCAATATATTTGCATGCAATGCTTGTGACCCACATTAAAAAGGGGGCAAAGCTTCAACCACCCAAAGTAGTGGCCCCAATACTTTGCAAGTATCCCTGGAAATATGGAGAATATGTATTCTCTCAAGACTAACTTTCTTGCTGTCTACATGCAAAGTACAGTGGAAATTATACATGCATATTTTTTTCTCCCATTCCACTGTGTTTGATTCTCGGAAACTGGACAAATCCCTGACGTTTTCTTGACAAGGTTTTTCAGAAGTGGTTTGGCTTGGCCTCCTTCCCAGTGCTGAGAGAAAGAGACTGGCCCAAGGTCATCCAAGTGGCTTCATACCCAAGGTGGTACTAGAACTCACCGTCTCCCAGTTTCTAGCCTGATGCCTTAACTACAACATATTGGTTCTCTACACATGTGTAATATACCCATTAAGTTCACTGGAATCTGCAATAATCTGCATGATGAATAATCTGCATTGAACTATCTGCATGGGAACCTCTCAATCCATAGTTTTGATGCTTATTACATGAATGGAAACCTTCAGCCTGCCTGTGCGTTTCCTGCATTTAAGCAGAGAAGGAAGTTATGTATGAAAATAAAAAGGATCCCAGATTGTTTTGCTAGAAACGAATAAAGAATCTCTAGCCAAGGTGACTAAATGTGCATGCATTAAGGCACAGCAAGCCATCATTTTGGGAACAAAAAAAAATCCCTTTAATTTAAGAGGGGAAAGTCAATTTTGTCAAAATTCATAATAACATGTAAAAACCAGTGAAAACATTTTCTTACATCCAGGACCGCAGATCCAACTGCACATGCCACAGGATTGCCTCCAAATGTGTTGAAATGGAGGTTCTCTGTCAAACTATGTGCAATTTCTAAAACCAAAATATATTAGTATTAATACATGAAGTTGTAAAGTCATTCATTAAAGAAATCAGCAGCTGGAAGTAACATAAAAAGAGAGATCTATGTTTACAATGCAGGCAGACCTTGATTTACAGCATTTGCTTAGCGACTGAAGTTACAACAGCACTGAAACAGCTGTTGGCTTCCAGTAAGGAAAGTCAACAGGGGAAACTGGATTTGCTTAACAACCATATGATTCACTTAACTGCAGTGATTTGCTTAACAACTGTGACAAGGAAGGTCGTAAAATTGGATGCAATGAGGTTAACAACCTCTTCCTGTAGCAATGGAAATTCTGGTCCCAACTGTGCTTGTAAATTGAGGATTAACTCTATTTGGAACCTCAGTGTTCCCATAGTGACTCAGAAGTTCTTTTGTGAATCTGTGCTCTCAATGTTCAGTGGATCAGATTGAAAGTAAGTCTGTATGTAGTCAAAGCCCTTTCCACCTAAAGTGATTTTTATCTAAAGGTTTCTTTGGTTTATGCAAATACCAGATGCAGGTGCCCATAGTCTAATGCAAAGTCATTCGTTCACTAGGCTGAACTATGCATTTGAATTATTACTAGGCTATTACTAGGCTGAACTATGCATTTGAATTGGATTTGTTTACACTGCAAAACCAGATTGTATTAAAAAGTAATTCATTTATTTTATCCAGTCAAGGCATCCAAAAACTACAGTATCACATTATTTGACAATTAAGCTCTGCAATTCTACCAATTCAATTTTCATACCACAGTCCTGAAGGAGCTGCAAAAACGAAGACTTAACAACTTCATGGTGATCAAAATAATCTCATTCAGCCATATTTATCTAATTTCTGTATTTTAAACTTACGATTATTTATAAAATTTATGACTGTACCAGGCTCAAAAACAGTAACTGTAAGAGGGACCTTGGAGTCCTAGTGGACGATCACTTAAATATGAGCCAACAGTGTGCTACAGCAGCCAAAAAAGCTAATATAATCCTTGGTTGTATAAAAGTGCAAAGAAGAGCAACTAAGATGATTAAAGGACTGGAGACAAAAACATATGAAGAATGGTTGCAGGATTTGGGTTTGGCTAGTCTAGAGAAAAAAAGGACTAGGGGGGACATGATAGCAGTATTCCAGTATTTGAGAAGTTGCCACAAAGAGGAGAGTTCAACTTATTTTTTAAAGCACAAGAAGACAGGACAAGAAACAATGGGTGGAAACTAATCAAGGAGAGAAGCAAGCTGGAATTAAGGAGAAACTTCCTAACAGTGAGAATAATTAACCACTGGAATAGCTTGCCGTCAGAAGTTGTGGGTGCTTTATCGTTGGAGGTTTTTAAGAAGAGACTGGATAGTCACTTGTCTAAAATAATATAGCATCTCCTGCTTGAGCAGGGAGTTGGACTAGAAGACCTCAATGGTCTTCCAGCTCTATTCTGACTCTGAGATTCCTAGAAATATGACAATTTCATAGAATAGGGCTTTGGGTTTAGTTTCTGTTGACTGAGAGTGGAAAGGAAACTGATAGTTTCTTTAAAACATTTATTTTAATTTAAAATATGCAGGTGAATCATAATGGAAGAAAATTGTAAGATTATTTTGTGGGCCACCTGCTGTTAGCTGGAGATGACATCTTTTATGATAAAGTCATAGGGTAAACCTTAAAGAATAACACAATTATTTCATAAGCGTTCATGAATCACAGTCTGGTTCACCCTATTAACACTTGTAACATCACTGTCATAAAAATACAGCCCTGGCAGAGACAAGGGAAGGAAAAAGAAAAGAATAAGAGGAGAGACAGAGAGAATAAGAATTAGAGTCCGTGTCTGTTCGTAGTGCCTGCTTATGGCTTTTCTCTATATGTGTTGTGATTCCTTGCCAGCCAGCGGACCCGGCAGCTGAGTCTGAGGAATCAGAGGAGGAGGAGGGGCCTGGAGTGACATCAGAGTCAGAGGAAGGCTCTGAGGAGCTCCAAGATTTACAGTCTGACGAGAAGCCTGGCCCCTCTACTCGTGTTCAGGCTGAGACACAGCTGTGCTAGGAGTCTGAGTTGGACAGTGATGAATCACAGCTGGGAGATATCCAGGATGCATGAAAATGCCAGCAAGAAAAGAGAGTAGGACAGAGAAATGCAATGGGGCGGCTCCAAAGGCAAAGGAGAAGGCATTAGGAAGCCACGCCTTGGCTGCATAATAAAAGGGAAGGTGTGGGAGGTGCTGGTTGCCAAAGGCAACCATTCGTGTTGAGGATCGAGTTTCTATGAACTGTGTTTGTTTGCCTTGGACATTGACTCAGGTCTGTGAATAATAAAAGGGGATTGGTTTTTTCCTGCGGTTCCAGCCTGCTTGTTGGAAGAGGGGTTTCTCCTTGTGAGCTTAACAAGGACTCACATAGGCTGGGACAGAACAATATGAGATAAAAATTCTACTGATCCAGCAAAATTTATCGTCTCATGTGTGTTCTGAAATATGAATGTACGTGTTAAGGTCAAGAATAAAATGCAACCCAAACTCTTTTTCATAGCCCTCCAGGCCTCTGGGAAATGATTGTTGAAGACTGTGGAATGGCATCCTGCCATTTTGAAGCAGGGAACAATCGTATGGAACGTATGACATTGTTGGGGAAGAAACCCCCCCCAAATCCTCTTCAACCCAGGAAGACAACAGAGAATTACCTGACCTTTCTCCCATGTTGATGTGATTGCACCCCCTTTGTGGCATAACCCGCACCCCTGGACTCTGTGCAGGAAAGGCTGTTCACTCTGAAACCCACCAAGTGTGAAAGTAGTTCTCACCTGCTGTGGTCACAACTGCCGCCATGGGAAAGCCGTTACCAATTCCTTTGGCCATGGTAACTATGTCTGGAATGACATCGTGACCTTGAAATCCCCAGAAATGACTGCCCGTTCGACCAAATCCAGTCTGAACCTTGGGGGAACATAGAAAAGGTGCTTTAAAAAAGTTTAGCGCATGGCTGACTGGAGAATTCTGGGAGTTGAAGTCCACAGATCTTAACGTTGCCAAGGTTGGACACCCGTGCTGTAGTTTCTCTATATAAGTAGCATCTATATTTTAAGGCTATTGTTTCCTGATAGGGAACTGTATATATTCCCTGTCAGGTTTTATGGAGATTCTCAATCATCCAGATCATGATTGTCCTAAAGCAAAGCTTTTCAACCAGTGGTACGGGTACCAGCTGTGGTACATTGTCACCTGGCAGGTGGTATGCGACCACCCTAGAAAAATGGTAGCGGGGGAGGGGAATGAGCTGAACCGGTGGCAGCTCCGCACAAGCCTGAGTGAGAGATGGCTGGAGCTGCAGGGCTGTCAGGGCTTAGCAGAAGCGCCAGGATCAGTGCTTCTTCAGGACTGTAGTGCTCAGTGGAAGCGCCAGCATCAGCGCCAGGCTCCAGCTGGAGCTTGGTGCTGATCCTGGCGCTTCTGCTGAGCCCAGAAGAAGCGCCGATCAGCTGGAATGTTGCAGCATCTCCAGGGTCTTGTGATTTACATTCAGATGGTTGGCAACTGATTCATATTTATGACGGTCACAGTGTCCCAGGGTCATGTGAAGTGGCCAAAACCTGCTACAACCACCCAGCAGACGGGAATAAAAACCAAACACCCCCCCACCCCACCCCCGCTGCCAATCCTCAACAGAAATGCTCATAACCATGAAAACCTCGGACAGGAGGAAGAGCGCCACTGGGTGGGCAGGCAGGTCTCTTGCTCGGGACTTTTTCCAGTGCCATTGTAACTTCGAACAGTCATTAAGTGAACTGTTGTAAGTCGAGGACTACCAGTACTTCATCACTTTTTTCCTTTCTTTTTTGGGGGGTCATCAAGTTTTTGACACCTTGCTAGGCGACTGGTGGTACTCGGATATTGCCATATCCTAAAAGTGGTACAATGGGTGAAAAGGTTGAAAAGCCCTGGCCTAAAGGGGTTTTTTTCCCCCCTCCAAAAGGCAACTGGACTTCTTTGTTTTATTTTCTCTGAAAACATTTCACTTCTCATTGAAGAAGCTTTTTCTTCTGAAGAAGTAGTTCTGAAGAAATGTTTTGGATGTGAAATAAAAAATTTTCAAAGAAAAAACCCCCCAAGAAAGTCCAGTTGCCTTTTGAAAAAAGCACCATTGGGTTCACTATCAGATATGCTACATGCATGCCAGTATTTCATCAGCTGCTCTTACACAGAAGTGACTTCCAAACTGAAATCTGAGTATGGTAAAGTCCTTAGAGAAAACACCACCCACTTCTCCCAAGTTCAGGATTCAGTTTAAATTTTGTCCTGTGTTTGCTTTCTACTTATTTCTAGAAGACACACCAACTGTCTTGCTTGTAGGAGGAGGAGTTCCCTCAGGCCAACTTGTTTTGCAAAGTCTTCTTCAAATGCTTTGTAGAGTCCCAATCCCAGGGGCCCAGCCAATCTAACCACTCTGCCAACGATATCTAAAATAGCCGTCCTTGTAGAAACGATGCACATAAAATTTGGAGACGGGAATCACATTCAGATATTCACCTCATCTGCTATGCAGAGACCTCCCCTTTCACGCACCAACCGATAAGCCTCCTTTAGGAATCCTTTGGGAAACTGAACAGCTCCATTTACGCCCTGGAGAAAGCAGACAGACAGGATCAAAGGAAATATTGATCTTCCAAAGAAAATTCCACAGAATCATAGAGCTGGAAGTAATCTTTTGAGGCCTTCTGGACCAACACCCAGCTCAAGGTGGGAGTCCTATACCACCCCAGTCAAAATGGTTATCCAGTCTATTTTTGAAAACCTCCAGTGATGGAGCACCCACAACTCAAGGGAAGCTATTCCACTGATTAATTGCTCTCAGGTCAGAAAATTTCTCCTTACTTCTAAGTTGGATCTCTTTTTGACAAGCTTCCACACGTTATTTCTTGTCCTGACTTCTGATGCCCAAGAGCAGGGGTAGGCAACCTTGGCTCTTTTATGACTGTGGACTTCAACTTCCAGAATTCCTGAGCCAGCCATGCTGAGGGGAAAGGGAGAGGTTTCCAAGCTGAGCCATGCTGGCTCAGGAATTCTGGGAGTTGAAGTCCACGAGTCATAAAAGAGCCAAGGTTGCCTACCCCTGCCCAAAAGAATAAGCCAATCCCGTCTTCTTTGTGACAGCCCTTCAAGTACTGGAAGATAGCTATCTTGTCCCCCACTAATCTTTCTCTTCAATAAACTAGACATATATCTAGTAGTTCCCTCAACTGTTCATCATACAGTTTAGCCTTCTCTTCTCTGCACACTTTCCAGGTTCTCAGCATCTTGTTTGTATCATGGTAACCAGAATTGGATGCAGTATTGCAATTGTGGTTTCACTAGTGTCCGGCATCATGTGAACACCATTTATACCTTGTGTAATTGCTGTAGTCCTAGTGATGCGCTTCAATGCACACGGCCAGGAGGTGGCACTGTTGAATTTATTTTCCTTTTAACCCATTACCTGTTTTACCTTTTCCTTGCTAGTGTAGGAAGCCCCCCACCCCAGAGAAGGAAATATTTTGAAGAATATTAAAAAGGCAGAATATTATATTTCTCCAAAGGATCTTAAAGGCAGAAAAGCAGGCCCAGTTTTTCTTAATAGCCCCAGGCAGAGGCCAGCTCTGTAGAAATGCAGATTTGATAATCCCATTCAGAAAGACTGAGCAAATGCTACCTGCAGAATCCCATTCAAGACAGGATCTTTTGAAATCCTTGCAGCAAAACTGATAGCTAACAATAGCAGAGTGATAGAACTAAAACCAGCAACTCCTCACTCAAAAGATCCAATACAGGACATAGCCATCAGCAACAGCCCCAGGGAAGCAGGACATGACCTTTAGGACATAATAGGATTAACGCACCACCATCAGAATACTAAAAGGGCACACTGAACCTCAGGTCAAAGTTCATGCCACAGGAACAGGAACAACTCCAAACACAAAAGCCCAAGAAGGTATAAAAACCCACCACTCCCAGCACCATGTGGTCAGCTGTTCCAGAGCCACATTTCTCTCTGGTTCTGCAACTCAATAAAGAGCCTTCTTTCCAAACAGCCTCCATTTTGTTTATTCTCAGCTTGGACTGGACCCTGATGAAGATTTTTCTTTCAACACTAGTAAGGAGCATCAGCTGAGTACTACTTCTTTCACATGCTGGAATTACAATACCTGGTGAAGTGACACCCATGGAAGGTATGTGGTGGCAGCAGTGGAAGAGGAAGTATGAAACCTCCAACTTTTCACCATATGGCTCAGCCAAACTACATACTACATCCATCATGTAAGATTACATGATGGCAGTCTGGGCCTGAACAAAAGGGGTCCATTAGTAGCAGGAGATCTCAACCCAGGATAGGAGGACAAGAATGCAGAAAGTGAGCATATAATTCCCCTCAATGGATGCTCTTAAACAGGTAGGAGAAAGAGAAGGCCAAGACATCTCTACATACAGAATGCATGGGAAAAGAGTGTGTCAGATTTGAAATAGAAGTGGGTATATATCCTGTACCATCGCTCCTGCTTATTGAGAGAAAATGCTGCCAATCTACTATTCCCATAAAGATTTAATTCCTAGCTCAGCCAAGTTTTTACAGCACAGTTTATACCAGTACTTAGCAGGGTTAAAAGTGTTCAGTTTATATCCTGAAAGGAAATCCCTTCTGGATCACTTGCAGATCAAAGAATTAAGATGTCCAACAATCAGAGAAGTTGTACAGTCTTTTTGTCTTATTATGAGAAAATCACAGCTTTATATACTATAACTATTCTCTTGAACTAAAGTAATAATAAGCAAGCCTCCAAGATGATGCTGCGAGAGTCAATTTTTCAAATGAAAACAAAGCACATTTTATAGTGTGATTCTATGCATATCTAACACCATCAGTGAGGCTGACTCCCTGGTTAAATGTATGTAGGATAGCGACTACAGTCCTAGAGATATCTAGAAGTCCCGCTGAATACAACATACTTAAGGTGACATTATGTTTTATAATGAGGAAGATGTTTTTTTAGGAATCAAGCATAAAGGTAAAGGTTGTCTAGTGAGGTTTGAATATAGGGGGCAGTGCTCATGTCCGTTTCTTAGTTGAAGGAGCCAGCATTGTCTGAAGACATTTCTGTGTTCATGTGACTGGCATGTCTATATACCAAGGCGCACAGAACGCTGTTACTTCCCACCCAAGTGCTACCTATTTATCTACTCGCATTTGCATGCTTTCAAACAGCTAGGTGGGCAGGAGCTGGGGCAAATAACGGGAGCTCACCCAGTCGCACAGTGCTCAGATCTCAAACCCGGGCTCTCAGCTTTCCACCTGACAAGCTCAGCATCTTTAAGCACTTTAACCACCCCACTTCCTAAGAATCAAGCACGGTATGAACTAATCTGCATTGGAAAGGACAGTGAAAAGTTTTAGGTCCTTGCAGCCTGTTAAAAGAAACAAAACACTTACTTGAATTGGCTCAGCAATAAATGCAGCAACTTTGTTTGGAACACAAGTCTGGAGTGTGTCCTTGAATTGCTCAATGTACTGGTCGTTTGCGTGGCAGGTTCCTGTATTGAAGGAGGTGAGGAGGAGCAATACATCAATTATTTTAAGGCTGTTATTACAGCCAGGTTTATCATTTAAAATGCCAAAGGGCTTTTCCCCGCTTGGCCCACTGTGACATGAAGTTGCCTCTGCTATATCCTTTTTTGGCTAAATCAAATGATGCTGCCTTCATTTAGGAACAGAAGTGGGAGAAGCAGGAGGGGGGCCGATCAGGAGGAAAACAAATTTCATCCTAGTGAATTTCTGCTGAATAAGGATGGACAGCACCAACTCAACATTAAGTGGGATTAGGGTGGAGGTTCGTTCTTCAAGCTTGTGGGTTGGTTTCTGAACATTTCATTACCAGGCTAGGTAACATCTTCAGTGGAGTTTAGGGGAATGACAGTGTCAGTGTTTTTCTGCCTATAAAGGCTTTGTGTGGTCAGTAGGTGTTGTGACGGGTCAGGTGTGGGTGTGTCAAGTGAGGGTCTTGTGATGGGTCAGATGTGGGTGTATTGTGAGGGTCTTGTAATGGATCTTGTGATGGGGAGGTCATGTCAGGTGAGGGTTACTGGGAGGTGAAGTTCTTGTTTGGGAGGATTTGTGTGGGTTGGTTTAGGTTTGGTGCTGTCACTGGTTGGTTGTGCAGTTGATTTGAATTCTAAGGGGTTCATTGGTTGGTTGTAGGTCGATGTATCTGTTGATGGAATTGCTTGTGGAGTACCAGGCTTCAATGAACTCACGTGCATGTACGGTGGTAGTATGGCCAATGATTCTGATATTACTCCAATCAAATCCACTGAAGATGTTACCTAGCCTAGTAATGAAACATTCGGAAACCAACCCACGGGCTCAGAGAACAAACCCCCAGCCTCATCCTACACCCAAGGCAGTGGTGGGATTCAGCCAGTTCGCACCAGTTCAGCAGAACCGGTAGCTAATTTTTTGTTGCCAAGGCCCAGAATGGACTTCCGGAAGCGGCATCCACACAGAGAACTGGTTGTTCACATATTTGAATCCCACCACTGACCCAAGCTCAGATATTCGCCACCATCGCAAAATTAGAAGGGATTGTATGATTGAGATCTGATTAAACAGATTCTGACACTTATAGGTAGTCCTCAACGTATGACTGTAATGAAGCCTGGAATTAGTTGTAAGTTGTGTTGGTTGTCAGGTGGACCATACCCGATTTTACACCCTTTGTTGTGGTGGTTGTAAAATGAATGAAGTGGTTAGTTACTAAGCGAACAGCGCAGATAAGCAAATCTATTGTCCCACAGTGGGCATTTTTTTTTTTTGCCAGAAACCAGAAATAAAGGCTGTTCCCAGCAAAAAAAATGTTTTAAATTGTGCTCACATGATCATGGTATTCTGCAAAAAAGTGGGCCTGCGAAAATCAAGAGGGTTTTCTTTACTAACCAACCTGAGGAACAGGAGCACTTTCGAATTGTTTGCACCGGAGAATCACGGCAGTGGCTTCCTCCCCAAGGACCACGGAAAACATCAGGTAACATTGTCTAAAGAAACAACAGACCTAAAGATGTTCATTATTCCACCATGATGTACTTGAACATGCTAAATTTTTAAAAGGTACATTCATGAAGAAAAGACAGAACTGAGATAGCAAAGAGAAATAAAGATGAACCCTTACAATAGAGATCTCACCATTTATTCCTTGTTTATAAACCAAGTTTTCTCTAACATGAGAATCGGAAATGCCCACCTGGCCAACTTCAATCCTTATTGGTAAAGCCCAGGGGTAGGCCACCTTGGCTCTTTTATGACTCGTGGACTTCAACTTCCAGAATTCCTGAGCCAGCATGGCTCAGCTTGGAAACTTCTCCCTTTCCCCTCAGCATGGCTGGGTCAGGAATTCTGGGAGTTGAAGTCCACATGTCATAAAAGAGCCAAGGTTGCCTACCCCTGGTATAGCCAAATGCAGAACATCCATAAATCTATCAGAAGACAAATACATGATGGGATTTTACTACCTATCATTTCATTTTTATGGATGCTACTGGGGCTCAGCAGGATAGCTGGAAATATAATTATGCTTCTACTTGATTCTTATCTTTGTAATATGCTAGATTATTTTCTTTTGTCATCTAAGGAGTCTAGACTGTAAAATTAGAGCAGGGAGTGGATGAATACTAATGACATTATATAGCTCCCACGTACCACACTGCAGACACAACTGCTACCGTTAAATAAAAGGATCAAAGTACATAATAAGAATTTTCAAACACTTTTTTAAAATCTCAACAGATTTTTTAAAATAATATTTTATTAATTTTCCAATTTTACATTTAAGTATTTAAAAAGCAACGTGGGGGCTGGGTTAATCAATAGTTCGATAAATTTTTTAGTACAAATCTCAAGTTACAACATCAAATATTTCCTCTCTTTTTCCCCTTAACATTTATTACCTCGTATTTAAGCTAATACAGTTCTTATTATATCAATAAAAACATCATTACATTTATCAATAAATTTTAGCTTATACGTATCTTAATTATTTTTTTCATTCAATCTTCATAAACAATCCATATCCTGTTATTAATTTTTCCCCAATTTTTAGTTTCCCATCAATATTCCAATTTAACTGTTAATATTTATAATTTTCAGGCTTTAGGTAACCAAGATTTCCCTTATCTCAATTCATAACAGAATCTAATATCCAAAATACACATTTTATCTATTTGAATATAATCTTGTTCTATTTCCTAAAAGTTATCTATTTCCCACCATATTAAATCATCTACTTAATAATACAATATCCCCTTTAATAAATCAAAACCATTATAGATATTACAATAATTTTTTTTCTTTTAGGTCTAATTTTTAAATATTAAACAGATAAAATCCTTATTTTCAACTAATTTCCAAATATTTTAAATCTAATGACCAGAATTCCCTTTATCTCAACTTCTCCCTTTAACCCTCTAATTAATAACATGAAATCCCCTCTAATAAATCAAACCTCCAATTTTCTTCAGCCTTATTCTGGCTTTCTTCCTTTGCCAACTAGGCTTTCATATCAGTGCTTTTAGATTGTCAAATAGATCTCCCTCTATTATTATATATGTTATTTGAAATAAAGGAGACCAATTGCCATTTTTTTGGAAGGACTAGTCCATTTGTATTCATTAATTTGTCTCCCTATTATTCCAATTCCCCATGATTGCCCTAATATGTTTATCTTCCATTCAATCTGTTCTTCTTTCTCAAATTTCTTCTGATTTATATATAGAAAAAGTCTTTTCCATTTTCAGTGTTGTCACTCCCTTTTCTGGATTTTCCATTAACTGTATTTGTTGGTCAATTGAGTCCTCTTCTTAATATTTGATTGTTCCACTTCTTCTGTTATCTTCTGCGTTGTTAGTTCTTTGGTTGTAGTCAAAGTTTGGGTTTGTGTATCTAGCTGGCATCTTGATCTTTTATGTTAGGTCTTATTTTATCACAAGTTGAAAGAATGGTTTCATGTATTGCTTTTAACATGGAAAGGATCTTTTCCTGATCTTCCTCCATTTCTTTCACGTGTTTATAAATAGTCTTTATAGTAGAAATCGTTTGTCAAGCAAGATTTTATAGTCCAAAGTATTTCATCATCTCATATAGTAACCAATATTCCTCAAATAAAGAGATAGGAAGGCAATTCCCCACATATAACTCTGAAAGTCAGTAAAGGTTTACATTCACTGTTCAAGTAGGCCAGTTATGCCACCCGCTGTTCTTCTACAGCTGAGTTTCTCACAGGTAGTGCCAAGGTCAGAAGAGTCTTATCTAAGGTCTGGGCTTCGAGCCAAGTCTCTTTTAGGAAATAACAAGTTGTAATACCAAACTTTGCCACAAGATGTCACCGATGCCATTTAAGGTTTTTTAAGTCCAAAACTTTTAGAATCCTTTTTCCAATTTTATTTCT